AACAGAAGTTAGAAGGTTTATCATGCTACTCTGTCAAAAAGAGATCAAAGCATGTCTTTTAAAAGTAGTTAAACACATTATATAATACATGTATTAAACGTAGAAAGTATAAGTTTACTAGCACTACAATATTTAATTTGTGTGTTTTGGCAGGGTATAGGCTTTTGTGTGTGTTGCCGACTGGTAATGGTATTGCTAATTTAGAGGGAGCAGCATACCTGTGAATGCATCCACATGCAACAATGCATCAGTATCTACATGAGCATACAGCAATAAAATAACACTGGCCCTGTTGTCAGATTACATGTGTCTTGTTCTTTATCAAGTACTACAAAAAGAAGTTTGGGGAATATTGTGCCATTGCATTAGGGTTCTATTGCTTCTAATTTAGCTGTCTCATTCTGTGCCCTCTTGAATCAAAAGACCCTGGACCTTTCATTAGAGAACATCAGACCTTTGGCTCATGCCAAAATTATATTTGTCAATTTAGCCCCTCCATCGAAAAACCACATACTAACTGTTCCACCAATTTTTTTTTAGATTCAGTTATTTTGCTTTGTATTTTATTTTGTACACATTTTTACTTTAAAAAGTCAAACTATGCTTTATTTACATTTTAGTGACCCTTTAATTTTAAATACAGGGTATGAAACAAAGCCATACCATGCATACTATGCATTGTGCATAGTGATCTTAGCCTTATGTGCAGCTGCTTGGCCATGGAAACCCATGTAGCTTCCTATGTACAATTATTAAGCTTCCAGATAGAATTTCGAACTGTATTGTAAGTGATTTCTTAAGTGCTACATGGCATCCCCGCTCTGGGTTTGTGTCATCCCCCGCTTCGTGGCTGAGCTGTTGTTGCCCTTAGACGCTTCCGTTTCACAATAATAGCACTTACAGTTAATCTGGACAGATCCAGCAGGGCAGAAATTTCATGAACTGACTTGCAGCAAGATGGCATCCTCTGAAGTGCTATGTTTAAAGTCACTGAGCTCTTTACTACAAGCCATTCTACTGTCTTGAAATGGAGATTGCATGTCTATGTGCTTGATTTTATACACCTGTTAGCAACTGGTGTGGCTGAGACACCTGAACTCAATAATTACAAGGGGTATACACAAACCTTTAGCCATAGTAGTGCCATAATAGTGGCCATAATAGTGTCAGGGGTGCTTTCACAGACGTGCAAATTATCCAGGTCGTGGGCATTAATACACCCTCATATCATGACAGAACCTAGCTGGTTTGGATGGTCCTTTAAGGCTTTGGTCCAGCGAACACAATGTTCATATTTCCATAACCTGAACGGCTGACACATATTTATATTATGCATCAGTCCATTTCAACTGAGATCAAGCTCACAGAAGTGGGCAGCATTTCTGGAAGTTGTTATGGCTTCCACTGTACACAGTAGAGCTGTGTATTGGCAAGAACAAGGCAATATGAAAATCTAATTTTAGGAAAACTGTCATAGTATACAAGCACACCACCATATGCATAGAATCTGAGTAAAGGAAAAAGTTTATTGCTATGAAAAACCATTAAAAAGATGCAAAGCTAAAGTCAGCTTGTCATTCGCCAGATTCTTGTTCAAATTTTCCCATTCAGCTATTATTACAACAGCCTTTGCGCACTGGACACACCATGCAGCTTCTAAAAATTCAAAACCATTGTTTTTACAGGAGGTACACATACCAGCGCTCCATGATTTCGAGCACTGTTCAATTTCTCAGCACGCCACACAGCATGAGACATTATTACATTAAATTAAAGTCACATTATGACCACAGAAAGCCAGAGTAGATCACATGGCTTCAATTCACACAGAGAAAGTCAGCCAGTCTTTTAGGTAAACACACGGATGATCATGGTCAGTTCCCTCAGCTAACGTTAATTTTCGTTAATTTTACCACACCATTTAAAGAGTAACTACACCGCACTATTTCCAGGTAACTCCACCCCGGCTCAACTTTGAAAAATGCTCAAAAATGGGAACGGCACGTTGGGAGGGGCACTGCAGTGATCTACGGGTTTGGAGGTGGAGCTGCAAGGGAAACCGGGCGGGCTGGGCTGCTGTGTTTTTATAGCTAATGTTAGCTACTACATAATATGGAGAGTGACAGTATTAAACCACACTTCTGCAAATTTAAGGTCTTACGAGGTTGAAGGTTTTTCTCTACTACAATCCCTATCCTCAACAACGGACAGCGTTTCTGATCAGACGGTGTGTCTTCAGCTTTACCAGTATGAGCCACTGACTCAAGCTGCCGAAGAGTTAACATAGTGCCAGAAAATTAATAACAGCGAGCGGGAGAGGTGTCCGAACGGCAAAATATTCCCTAAAACCATGACAGCTGGCTGCTAATTATCTGTTCAGCAGGTCCATATTTGATATAACCTGAGCCCTGATTTCTTAGACTTACTAAATTCCGAATGAATGAAGTGGAGTTCTGTCTAAGTTTCATTTATTTTTAAAATCAAGCTATGAAAAACATACTTCTATGAAGCCTGAGGGTACCATTTACTTCTATATAGGTGCACTTGTGGCACTGTACCAATCTCTCACTTGTTAAGAACAACTGCAGTAGTGAGGTGGCCAAGGTATGTTAAAAGTTAATGCAGAAAAAAGCTAACCCAGCCTTTGTAGCCTAAGCTAGTTAGCTTACGCTAGCCATTCTCTAGCATTTCCTGCATCACGACCTAGCTTTTAGCATGCTCCTGTTTGATTCCAAGAACAGAAGTATAACAGGGAGACTGTATCGTACCAAACAGGTTGTTCACAGATGTGAGCAGGTTGAGGTCATACACTGCCTCACCTGTCATCCACGGTTTGCTGCAGTGGCCCTAAATCCTTACATTCTGCAAGCTGTTCATGGCACTTTATATGCTATATGGAGACCTGCAAGAATCCTTACTTAATCGGTCCGTGAGGTTACCTAATCATACATTAAATGTTATCAATATAGGGCAAGTTAAATCTAAAAGGCTAAAAACTACAATATCTACAAATACAATAACTAAGCATTACCAATAATAACTAACTAGAACACTAAATAACACGCTAAATGTGATGAGACTCATCCAAAATGGCGCAGATGTTCTCCCTTGCTCTAAGCGCGTATGGTTTCACATTTATGAGCACGGCACGAGCAGAGCCATCTCTCTACATGGCACTGGGGCACGAGTAGGGCGTCATCAGGAGGCGGTAATGTTGGTTGACCGATTTGCATACTGTGAATATAGGCGTGGATGATGTAGAGGCGCTGCAGAGGTGAAACTGACCATGATAAAAAAATATTATTTTACAGTTTGGAAAGATGTGTTCACAATTCAAGCAAGTTCTGTATTATTACAGAACAATGCCATTCAGCTATTAATGAAAAAGGATCTTAGGGTGTAGTTACTCTTTAAGCTGTAACATGAAAATTCAAACAAGAAGCTGGCAAATAAGAAGCTGAGTCAGCCTTGGCTAAATCTTCCTCAGAAAAATCAGAAAATGTTACCAGCATATAAAAGAATAAGTAGTATATTTTGATAGCCTAAATCACCTTAACAGAGGGTAAGGTAAAATTAAGCTGGTCAATGCAATAGACTGTAAAATAGACTTGAAGTAAGGCTAAATTAACATAAAACACAAATCGTTATAACACCAGTCTAAGTCTTTCAGATTCAGCTATTGGTGGTATCACTACTACTCAGCTAGGTTTGCTAATGCTAATGTTAGCAGTGCACCCTTACGCTACCTTACATTTATGTTGATGTGAAAGAGCCTAATGGCTGAAGATAGATTACAATACTGCTCATATAGTCATTGTGATATCCAACAGCTTTATCGAACATCGCATATTATTTTCAATATCGTGCAGCCCTACTAGGCCTACAGGTATCTTTAACAATAATCCTAGGCCTGAATGTTCCTAAAATCAGCATGTCATGCACAATACTGAGAAATGTGCTCAGTTTGATTAGAAATATGGTTCATATATTTGCCAAATTTTTTAAGATGTGTTGTGCAAGATCTTTGATTTTGAAATTAGTGATTATTCTAGTGATTGAGATCAGTTGTGGCCCAAAGCCACTTTCAAGATCACATCCTACAAAGCTGATCAGTTATTTACTTTTTAAAAAGCAGATGCACTCTCCTTCAGAGCACATAAATAGGACTTTACGGAAATCAGAGAAGGGTAATATGACAATATTTATCGTTATCATGATAAATTACATCATGTCACAATATGCTTTTCTAAACATATTGTGGATACTGTCAGTCCTTAAAAACCTCTTACCAAATGCAAATTACAAATAATGCATAATTAGTATTGTTTAATTTGATTTAGTTCGGCACAGTGTGTAAAATGTTGAATACAAATAGTTTAATGAATAGTTTTTGGTAGTATTTTTAAAATGTAGGTTTATTTTGTTCTAACTTATCAGATGTCAGAAAAAATAAATATTGTGACAGACTGTGTATCGTAAATAATTTCTTAAGGCATTTTGCCATATTGCACACCTCTCCTGGGAATATGGAAAAATAATTAATTTACAAGATTAGCCTGAGAAAGGCACAGGCTTCTACAATGTTGAGTCAAAAAACGGGGCCTCCTATAACCAGGAATAACATCTCAGACTCCATGAAATACCAGATGTTTATATCAGATTGCCTCTGTGATTTAGGATTCCCAGATCTTTCAAAAAAAAAAAAAAAACTATCCAATTATAAGGAAATATTTTACGAGGATAATTTTACTTCACTGAAAGGTATCTCATATTTTCCACTGGATTAACAACAGATGTTCCTTCACAGCCTTTTTTGCTCATCAACCTACCAAGGCTACCAATAATCAAGGAAGGCACTATATGTAATATAAGGGGTAAATGAATAGTTCCTAAATTCATTAACATGTGTGCATTTCTATCATCACTGTTAATACGTCTCCACTGTTAGTGCTGTAAAAATTGGGTGTTAATACCTAGTTGCTTTGGGGTTAAGCACTTACACAGACAGTCTGTTGGCTGAAACACTGATAGTTTTTGTGATGCCTCCTTTTCTAGGCTCGCGATCAGGGAACAAGGACTGGACTGCAATGGATGCCTCCCTTTGAGAAGGAAAAGGAACTTCCAAAGTACTGACTTAGTAGTAAAGGGAAAACAAGCTTTTTAAAGTTAACTCAAAATAATTACACACATACATATACATACATACATACATACATACACACACACACACACACATATACATACATACATATATATACACACACATTATATATAAATGCATTTTATATGTTACTATACCGTAACATATTTCTGAGTGAGTAGGGAGGGTGTTTGAGCTAGTTGAGCATCTTCACTCAGTGATACGGGGTGGAGGGAGGAGGTCAAACATATTATTTGTTAATATTATTTTTCCCTGCCTGCATGGTGACATAACCAAAATTCAAGGTATATTTTATAGACAGGCAAAAAAATTACATTTTGATGAAAGACAGGAAAACAAGAATTTACAGAGATATGATGAATGCTTAATATGACAAGGCAAACAAGGTAAAAGAACAAGAAAAAAAAAATTACTATACAGGTAGATCAAATTTACTAGCCAGTTTCACTGTGACTTTCCTTCTTACTAACATGCTATACCCATTAAAACCTGCACAGTCTCGGATAGTTTTTCTATGTGGCACACTATTAATTTTGTTAACTCATAACTACAATGTCAACATTTTTATTACTGCAATAATTTCTTGTTTGTTATTAGCTAGAAAGCGCATGTGTGTTTTTAAGCAACTTCTATGGAAAACAGAAAAGACTAGAGCATTTCAACTATACTACATATATTAAATAAAACTTATCCACACACACACATCCTTACAATGTGCACCTATGGAAACATTCTTCAGTCCAAGTCTAAGAGTTTAACATTCTAGGTTAAACAGGTGCACCAGAGTAATGGAGACTTTGGGTAAACTGTGTTGTACATTTCATGGAGTGAACACACAAAATGTTTCTGGATCCTGAAAAACATGTTTGGCTACACACGCAAACTAGTGCAAGGCTTGTGGCTCCTGTCTAGGTGTGTTAACTTGCAGGAAATTGATCAAACTCTGCAGGGCACTTTTTGAAGATTCATGACTGAGAATGAAGACATTCATAATATATCCTCAACTCAGGCTTTTCTTTTATACAAGGATGGGGTGCTGTTTCCAAAATGATGTGCTTTCAAACTCCCGTTTTGAAAGTCCTTGGAGCAAATGTAACAGACAAAGTGCCTGTCTCCTCCGCTCTTTAGATAATTGGTAATCGTTTTCCTCTTCATTAATTATACAAATATATATGCACTATACAGGTGAATTTACAACAAAAGTAACCCTCCCATAGTGTGTGTTTTGAATTCGTGCATAAAGAGAGACACGTGCATTAAACTAGAAGATAATAACGTTACGAAGGTCAGAAATAGACATGCATTCCAAAATGACCTATTTCAATCTCTGAAATGTTCTGCTCGATCCACAATTTTTGCTATTTAAAGTCACAAAAATTATTATTAATATTTGAAATGAATTAAGTAGATGCTAATCGCAGACACTCGTCTAGGTTTGTATAATGCAAGCATTTCCCAGGCTAAAGGCTGCTAGGAAACCTGTTAAGGATACAACATTTCCACACTAAATCAGCAAACAATATGTTACCAATACTGTAAGGATACAATTCAAGTTTTCCGTCAGAATTCCTAGCTCCCATGCTGGACGCCATCTTGAAATATCTGCTGCAATTGAGACCAGCACTTTCGTCAGTTCCGACATACAGACATATATACATACATACATACATACATACATACATGCATGCATACATGCACACATACAAGCATACATACATAATTTTATAGGCCCGACTCCCTTCCCTTTGTTCACAATATGGGAAGCTGGCGTATGTTTATGTTCTCCCACCCGTATTCGGAGTAAGGATTGGCTAGCAGGCTAGTCCAAGCTATTTGCCTATTGGACAGTTGAGAAGTCGTTTACGTCACCGCAGCAACTAACTTGCAGAAATATTTAGACGAATCACAAGATCAAAGCATTAATGGGAAGGAAGTGTAGGACTATCTGCTTTAAAAGTTATTTTTGCCAGGAGAATTTAGACAACAGGCTTAAAATCACTTAAAGGGTAATTCCACCGATTCAAACTTCTGCATAATTCAGTCCTTAACAACCATTTGTAATGCTCAGCTATGAATAAATTAATGGTAGATTTCTTTGTTGAGATTAGATTATTATCAGATTTTACAATATTTCCACTATAATCAGTTGGCTACGTATCTATCACATTTATACTATTCCTTAGCATTTTAGCAGCCTTGATTTATTCGGTAATATGGATTTATTTTATTTTAATTGATCGTATTCTTTGATGGATTTATTTAATATTATAATGAGTTGAGTATGGTTTTATTGGTTTCTAAAACATATTTTGTGAAACTAGTTTCTGTGAATCTTCATTGTTACCTTCTTGGCAGATGAGAGGTTTTGTAAATATATTTTTCAAACATTTTCAAAACAGTTAGCACAAATGTCACAGAAAAAACAAAACAAAACTCCATTGTATGATTGTGTAAAACATAAGTAACACATTTAGTGAAGCGGAATTAATCTCAAATTATACTAAAAACAGACAAAAAACAGCAATTGCAAACAACTCTACAACATCCTCTAGATGGCACCAAATAGCTGCATTGGAAGTTTCCTGAACACTATTAATCTATTATTCCAGAGAATACAGTGCAAAATATTTAAAACGTTTGTATGGTACTAAACTAGTGTTAGACGAAACAAATGTTTTAATGAAAAACAACATACGAAAATGACAAACTTTACTGATCAGACCTCTCTGAGAACTGATATGACTTTTTATTCTGATGAACACAATTGACATCCTTCTATTCAAAATTCCCAACCTGCTTCGCCACTCCTGCTGATCTAAACACAATAGCAAGCGTGGAGAATGCAGGTGGCGTTGCAGGGGTTCCCAGACTTTTTCATGCCAGGACCAACATAAATTTGTCAAAAAAGTCCTCAAGCTTGCATTCGGTGATCCACTCAGCTCTTAGCTTTAAAATGTATTTAATACTTCGACATTAAAACGAATAATGAAACTGTGGTTAACAAATAGCACAATGTGTGAGCATGAACTATCAACAGCGCAAAGAGCCATTTTTCACTTCTTTCACTATTTTGGTAAAGCAAATAGATTTTACGTACAGCATGAATCACATTTGGTGAGTGAAGAGGCTAGACATAAGTGCAAGCAGATTTTATTTGACAAAAAACGAACTAGAACAAACACTGAAAAAAGTACAAAAGACATACTACATGACTTGTAATTGCACTGTAATTAGTTTTGCTGTGGTTAAGAGTTTAAACTGAGTTTAAACCTGAATGAGTCATGTGGGTCCTTAAACTCCAATGCTGTGTCCTAGAAAGCTGCCGTTTAAAGCACAACTGCGGTTTAGCAAGCAAGCAAGCAAAGTTTATTTATACAGCGCCTTTTACAACAGGTGTTGTCACAAAGCAGCTTTACAGAAAAATCCGGGTCCAAGCCCCCATGAGCAAGCCAGTGGCGACAGTGGCAAGGAAAAACTCCCTAAAAGCAAGAGGAAGAAACCTTGAGAGGAACCAAGACTCAAAAGGGGAACCCGTCCTCCTCTGGTGGACACCGGATAGCAAACAGCGTTAGTATAAAGTATTATAGTACAAAACGGGGAAAACAGGCGGAGCAATGGTTAATAACAGAAACCAGATTATTGTAATAGAATATTTTAATATTCCATACGTAGGCCCTTATACATCCCATCATAACGTTCATGGCATGTTTTAATTAAATATTATCTTGCTTAATTAAACACACACTGAGGTACCATGCACAAGAGGAAGCGTTAATCATTGCTGCCTTCTCTTTTAGAATATTGAGAGAGGCTAAAGATATCCTGTGTTTAGGCCAGGGGTCGGCCTAAACACAGGATACGGCCAAGCTGCTTTTCTTGCATCTCTGGCAGGAAACTTTTCCTCAAAAGTGGAATAGTTTCTTGTAAAATGTCTCTCAACCTGCCTTTTTTTATGAGGCTAAAGTCAGCTCCTCATTCGCCAGCTTCTTGTACTATTTTTTGGTTTTTTTTTTGGCCACACTACCACCCCCCTTTTTTCAGGGAACATTAAATTTTTCATTTTCATTTCACTATTAATGTCACAACTCATTGTGACATTAATAATCATACAATTATAACCCAACCCACCTCCAAACACCACCCCCACCCACCCAAATTGTGACCAGGTTTTCTTGAATGGATTTGAATTATTTTTAAGATTTGCTGTTAGTCTTTCAAAGTGGCAGTGAGCTGTATGGAGGTTAAACCAATGCTTTATTGAAATTTGGTTCTGTCCTTCCAGTTCAGCAATATAACTTTTTTGGCAATGGTAAGTGATATTAGTATAAAGGATTTGATGTGATTGGGTGCTGAAAGTGAGGAAAGATCATTATGTAGTGCTACAATGGGACATAAAGAGATGACAAGGCCCAAAATCTATGATAGCCTGTCCATGACCTCTGACCAAAACTGTTGGGTTGGAAAACAATTCCAGAAAGCACGATAGTAGTTGTCTGTTAAAGCTGGGCAATGTTGGCATGCATCACTGTGATTAAATCCCATATGGTGTAGTTTAGAGGCTGTAATATGTGTTCTGTGACAGGTTTTATATCGAATTAGCTGGAGTTTTGAATTGCTGGTCATAGAGATGTCACTACATATATTTTGCCAGTTGAGATTACATGTTTCTCAGGTCCATTTTTCATTTTTTTCATTTTTCACGTTTATATATTTGTGACAACATTTTCTGAGGTTTAAGGCAGTGTAGTTTTAAGTGCGTGGGGGGGTGTAATTACAAAAATGTCCACTATTAAGTGTTCTTTAAAACATCTTTGAGTTGTATATACTGAAAGGGACAATTATCTGGCATATTGTATTTTTCTTTGATGTCATCAAAGGTCATGAGCAAGCCATCAGAGAACAACTGTGCCAGGCTGGTTATTCCTCTCTGCTTCCAGGCTGAGAATATAAAAGGTTTGTTATTTATTAAAAACATGGGATTGTTCCAGAAAGGAGTTTGACCGGAGGGAGAGTGGCTGTAGTTAAGGATTTTGTTTGAATTCCACCAAGCAAGTATTAGTAGAAATTTGGGGCTCCAAGTCCTCCAAGATGTTTAGGTTTCTGGAGGGTAGCTACTTTGATTCGAGGCTTTTGGTGCTTCCAATAGAACTTTGTGACTACATTGTCAAGAGAGGAGAACCAGCCTGATGGTGGGGTAACAGGGGTCATAGAGAACAGATAATTGATTTTAGGAAGGATATTCATTTTAACTGCTGATATTTGGCCAATTAGAGTTAATGGTAGTTTATTTTATCTTTCTAGATTATCCTTTATTTCTTGCATTAAAGGTATATAGTTAGGTTTATACAATTTTTTTTATGTTTGAAGAGACATGAATACCAAGATATTTAATAGACTGTGTGATATGTTCAAATGGTATATCATTGAACAGTTGAATTTACTTAGAGGCAGAAACTCCGATTTGGACCAATTAATGGAATAGCCAGTAACCCTGTTATACTTATTTATCAGATCATGGACTGATGGAAGGGACAGTGAAGGGTTACTGATGATATATAGTAAAACATCATTTGCATATAGACTGATTTCATGGTGGTATGACTTTGACTGTATACCTGAGATTTTATCACACTGTCTGATAGAAGCAGCCAAGGTCTCAGTAAAAAGACAAAACAATAAAGGTGATAAAGCACATCCTTGTCAACTTCATCTTTGTAGGGTCTGGATATGTCTTTTTGTTGAGGCAGAAGGTGAGTTGTATAATGTTTTTATCCAGTTGACAAAATATGGGCCAAATCCAAAGTGTTTAAGAGAGGCAAAAAGAAAGGACCACTCTACCCTATCAAATGCCTTTTCAGCATCCAGAGATGCTATTATACATGGTGATATATTTGGAGCTGTTATATTTATGAGTTAGGTGGAATAACCTATGTGTGTTCTCTGTCTCCCTTTGATGAACCCAGTTTAATCTGTGCTTATGAGAGTGGATATCACTGATTCCAGTGTTTGATAAAGGTTTACTTATGATTTTTATATTAAGATTTAGATTAAGTGACCCTTATTAGTCCCACAACAGGGAAATTTCACCTCTGCATTTAACCCATCCGTGCTATGAAACACCACATACACACTAGTGAACACACACACCAGGGGGCACACTTGCCCGGACCGGTGGGCAGCCCTATCCGCAGCACCCAGGGAGCAGTTGGGGTTTAGGTACCTTGCTCAGTCACGTGCTGTCAGCTCAGGGGATCGAACTGGCAACCTTCCGGTCACAGGGCTGGTTCCCCAACCTCCAGCCCATGACTGCCCCACAATATATATCTGAATTGATCAGTGAAATGGGACGGTAGCTGGAGCAATCTGTAGATTTTTTATTTGGTTTTAAGATAAGTGTGATGAGAGCAGTATTCATATGATATGGTATGGATGCATTTTCAAACATTTCTGAGATTACTTTTGAAAAAAGCAGTAAAATCAGAGGCCAGAATTGTTTGTAAAAGTCTACTGGGTAGCCATCAGGTCCTGGTGATTTATGATTAGGCATTAGAAAGATGTCTTCAGAGGAAAGAGGTCTGTCTGTTGATTCTGATACGGATGTAGGTAATTTAGGTAGGGAGACACTGCTCAGGAAGGCTTCAATTTCTTCTGGTGAGGCTTTCTTTTCAGAAGTATAGAGATTAGAGTAAAAAGACCTAAATACACTAATACTTGTACTAATCTTCTCATTCCACCTTAAATGGCGCCTGAGGTGGCAGAATGTAACTGCATCACCATTTAAGGTGGAACATGAAAATTTAAACAAGGAGCTGGCATTTGAGAAGCTGACTT